GGGGGGGGCCCCTCCCCAGGTCATTGCTGCCTTCGATGTCCTTCTCGTGCCGCGTTGCTTTTCCTTGCTCTTGTACTCATAATGGCGACCGCGACGATGATAATTTAACCCAGTAGCCAAGGTCATGTCTGTGCATGTGGGATTTTCCCCCTCTCTCCCACCCAGAGCCCCCTCCCCAATTTCCCCCGGGGTCTGGAGCTGCAAGGGGGCACCCATTTTGTGGGGGGGAGGCGGGTCGGCCGCAGTCAGGACCGAGAACCGGCCACCCGGGGGGGGCTTTTGCCCCCGCCTTTTTTTTTTTCTGTCACGAGCAATAAAGTTATTTTGGGTTAAATTCGGTTTGTCTGGTTTGTCGGGAAGCTGGCTTCAACACACACACACACACACCAATGTCCCTTTAAGCACACAATTGTGCAACAGGTAAGCTTGGACTGAACAACAGGGTCGGTGAGGGACAGTTCAAAAGTGACGACGTCCCTTTCAAATCGTCCCTCTCCCAATTAAGATGCACAGAGTTGGAAGGGACCTTTGAAGGTCCTCTAGTCCAACCCCCTCACCCCCAACCCCTCTCACGCCCAAGTCCCTGAAAAAAAAAAGAGCAACGGACGGCCGTCACTGCGACATTCCCCCCCCCCCGCAGCTACGCGGTCGAAATTCAGGCGCTTGGCGAGGGCTTCGCACTTACAACATTTGTGGTATGTGCCCTGGGGGTGTGTGTGCGTGTGTGGGTGTGTCACACGATCCGCCTTGTGTGACCTTGCGACAAGGAAAGTCACTGGGGAAGCCGGATTCACTCTCGCAAGCTGGTGACTGGACGTGTCGAGGGCAGCGCTCCACTTAACGGCGGCGGCAAGAAAAGGTTGTGACATGAGGCAAAACGGGTGTGTGAAAACAGGTCATTTCCCTCCCCCCCACCACCATCCAAAGGACCCCAACTGACCAAAAGGACTTGACCGGCCTCCGTGACGGTGCCATTTCTGGACAGCAAAAGACGGGGCAGAGACAGAGCTTAGCAACCAAAAACAGCTTTTATTTGTGGACACACACACACACAGAGACACACAACCTGGAGGGTGGAAGGCTCTTACAGACAGGATGACACAAACGGGACACCCCTCCCACCCATCCTCAGCCCGGCCTCTTTCTCCCACCTCACCCCCCCCCCGCAAGGCCCGGCTATTGTTCCAGCTCATTTCCCAAGGGAAGGTGTCTGCGGAACTCCCCGCCACAAGCTGCCAGCCGTTCAGGGCGGGAATGCCCTATTTCTCCTCCTCCCTGCACCCCACCTCCCACAAACCGACCAGGATGGGCTCCTCCTCCTGCCCGCCGCCCCCCCCGATCTCCCAAGATGGTGCCCGGCCTCCTCAGGCCCTGCGCCGGGAAGCCAATTCTAGCCTCAAGGCACCAGTCCTCACGGTGGCGATTTGCAAACCGAGACCTTCGGAAGATATTGGCGGGGGGGGCGGGGCGGGGTTGGACTAGAGGACCTACAAGGTCCCTTCCAACTCTGATGATCCGTTATATTGGTATAGTAGCGCCGCCTCCAATTTGGCTGGTCTTCGCTGCAGCTTTGTGGCAGCGCTCTCTGGGGGAGCTGGACTACAACTCCCATCCTCCGCGGGCACCTGGATGGCAGCTCCCTGAGGGTTCAAGGCCTGGTTGTGGTGTTTGGTTTTGTATTTTTTTTTTGCAGAGTTTTAAATGTTGGGGAGGGGCAGGAAATTGTGTGGGCGGGGCCGCCCCACGCTCATTTTGGGAAAAAGGCCACTGGCGGGGTTGACCCCGCCCTCCTCCTGAGCCCCATTATTTGGGGGGAGGGGAGAGGAGAGGAAGGGGCTTCTTCCCCCCCTCCCTCCTCTCTGGGGGGGAGAACCTCCATGTTCAGAGGCACTCTATCTCTCTTTTTTTTTTTCCTTCCCGGCACCCACCAAAGCCGCACAGCAACAAAATCCGAGCATTGGCCTCGTGACTATTTGAGGTGGGGGGGGGCGAGGGTCCCCCACCTTCCCTCGGAGTGGGGGGACGACACGCACATCAGGACCATTGCAGCAAGAAAGGGTTAAAAAACAGGCAACTACAACGATGACGATGACAATAATAATAATAATAATAATAATAATAATAATAATAATAATAATAATAATAATA